TCTCATTTTTAGACCATTTATGGGTTAAATATGAGACACTCATTTTTGTATACTGAATTATTATTATTTTATTTTTTTTAGGACTAATATTTTTACCTTTGTAAATAGTTTGGTTAGGTTAGACTATATCACAAAATATAGTCTAAGAGCTAGCAACGTTTTCGAGAAAGTATTTTAAGACGTCTGGCTCTTTGATATATCTTTTACTATGCTCTCTGGAACAGCATGCGGCCCGTCTGGCTGCCGATACCCGTTGCGTTCACTACTGCGCATCGGAAAAAGATCCTATATATATTTTTTTTAATTTAGTCTTATAAATTCTAGTATTGAATATAAATCGAACTTGTCTCGATAGCGCTGTGCGTAGAGTTTCCGACTACGAACCGATGATTCAGAGTTCGAATCCGGGTCAAGGCAAAGACTTTTTTATTTTATTTTTGTTTATAGTCTGATAGTAAAGTATTAAATAATTCTGGTGATTCAAAAAAAAAAACAATTATTTAATACTTTACTATCAGAATATAAACAAAATTAAAGTAAAACAGTCTTTGTCCTGACCCGGATTCGACCTCTGAATCCTCGGTTCGTGGTCGGAAACTCTACGCACTGCGCTATGGAGACATGTTCGATTTATATTCAATACTAGAATTTAAAGGACTAATAAAAATATAGGATCTTCTTTCAATGCGCAGTAGGAAACGCAATGTTTACCTGTAGCCAAAGCGGCCGCATGCTATTCTAGAGAGCATAGTAAAAGATATATCAAAGAGCCAGACGTCTTAAAATACTTATTTTTCCGACGTTGCTAGCTCTCGTACAGAAATACTTTTGTATTTAATGGTTGTAACTTAAAAATACTAAAAGTCTTGAAGTCTTATTTTCACACCATTTGATCCTATTACAATTCTTGATTACAATTAAGTGACTATCAACTTAGATAAGTAGGTATGTAAATTTTTCAACTCTGCTAAAAATACTTCAACAGAGTTTCCTTCCCAAAAATCTAGAAACGTTTGAAAAAAAATACTAAAAATTTCCATAAGAAAAAATATACTCATTTTTTTTTGTTTTGTTTTTACTCTTGGCTTTAGGTCGTTGGGGTTGCAAAGATGTTTCTAGATTTTGTTCATTATTTTTTTATTTTATGACGACGTTTCGACAGTATATGTCTTTTTCAAGCCTCTTGAACGTAGATTCTTACAGAGTTAAAATTTGTTAAAACTGGACAACACAATAACACATATTAACTATTGTTTTAATTGTTTTTGGACATCACACTTTACTATAGAGCACGTACGTATTTCCTAGCAGATCGCTCTGTATAAAACACATTTATCATTTCAATACCCGATGTCTACTTTTTTTTTCTATCATTTTTTTTTCGTTGCCTTCGAAATATTGTTTAACAAAGTTCTACAAAAATGACATGGTCAGCAATAATGTATAGATGGCAAACTATGAACTTTCAACATCAACATTAATATTATTATTTTAGTATACCTAAAATAAAAGTTAAAGGCCCCCCCCATGCTATTATTTATATAAATCAGAAAATAAGTACTATATTAAACGGAAGATAATACATAATGTGTATTAATATTTTTTATACTTTTTCAAATGTCAATACCGTTTTAGAGAAAAAAAGTATGAAAATATACATTCACCGGCAGGAAAAACTGATACCACAGATAACACATCTGATACCTTAAAATTTTGATGTATTTTTAAGAGCAATATGTAGCTAAATTATTGGGTTTTTATATTTCTTTCTAAATTAGAAACAAAACTTCATATCTGTCAATTATACGAAGGAAAACGAAATGTGGATATTTTGTTGAAAGTTTGAAACACCCTGTGGAATATATTAAGACAGCAAGAAATTTAAAAATTATTTTATCATCTAAGTACATCCTTTCTCGATAGTTTGTTTTTTGTTTTATCTCAATAGCTTTATTTTTGTTAGAGATATTCGCTTTTGAAACATTTTTTGTAATTTATTTATTTTTGCTCTCCAGGAGCGAATAACTCCAAAAAAACAGAACCAAAAAATAAGCTGTGAGAAAACATGCACCTAGATGATAAAATAATTTTCAAATTCCTTACTTTTTTAACATATTTCACAGGGTTTTAATCAAAATTAATAATAACAATATATCAAAGAACGAAAACAAAATTTTGGGGCTAAGGAAAAAAATCCACTACATTTCATATAAATTGGGAAAAATATTAACGGGATTAACCGTTTTAGAGAAAGTAGAACTTATAAAGAATGCATTTTTTATTAACTTATTAAAATTTTGAACTTGATATAATATAGAAACATAATATAAGAACTATAAAATTATTATGATCACTTACCCTTAAACAACCACAATCAGCACTAACGTAAGATACCAATAACAACACACAAATAACTTTAATCATCTTATCTCTTTTTCGCTACTTTGTATAATGCAGAAGAAAAAGCAACTTCACTTATATTTATACAATTTACAACTTTCCATAGATGTCTTAACTGGAAATACTAATTTATTTAAGCAAAAATATGTAAACAGAGTTCCGAACGAAGAATGTATTTGTTGTTAATTCATACTCAAGGTGGCTAATGGTTATTGAACTTGAAATAGTAAACAAGGGTTGTAACTTCCTCATTTATATTTGAAACAAATACAGATATATCTATGCACTTTATTTCCTGGTTCTGAATATTCAAAATAAAATTCAGTGATGTGTCCATATCATTATTTTGATGTAATGATATTATTTTTACATATTTTTGCAATATTTTTCGGTACACAAATCTACCAAAATAAACCAAATGAAAAAATGGAATCACGTTATGCTAAGCATGTTAGTATTGTCATCAGATAATTAAAATTATCTTGTTAATACCGTAGTTTACGAATGAAGCTTTAAGCTTCATGCAGAACCTCGCAATTAGTGGAATAAATTATTGGTTTTAATTACACTTTATACTTTTTAGTTTACGATCATTCTTAATGTCTAAAAAACACAATTAAAATTAATAGAATATCCTAGCAACAGCTTGCTGTAGTCAGTGGAATCCATAGAGAAAGCCTAATATTTAGTTTAAAAAACAATCAACTTTTGATTTCTAACCACAATTTCTCTTGACGGATTGATTTGAAGACCAAAATGACATTTCTCGCAAATTTTGAAGTATAATTAGTGGAAAAGTTAAAAGTTTGATAACTTTTTCCACTAATTGAAAATGTCTACCACTAATTTTGACGTTCTGAATGCGTACATTAAAATTAAAGGGACAAACTTCTACGCTAATTGAAACCGCTAATTTATTCCACTAATTGCAAGGTTCTGAATGACGCTTTAAGGTTGATTCTCACTATACCTTCCATATCAGCTACTTTTCGTTTCCCTTCCGTTTACATAAAATATTATATCATGTAAATGAATAGGACAATGCACACTATCCGTTCCGTTTCCCTTCCGTTCCATATCCTTTCCGTCCATACATTTTTTGGCGGACGGACTAAAGCTTATCGGAAATAACGTTGTCAAGTTCTTACATTTGTACCAGCTCTGTTAAAATTTTGTTATATTTATTTATTCTTTTGCCTCTTAAATATATTACCTTTTTCAAAAGATACAAATTTTTAAAATAAAATTTTCGTAATGATATATATTGTACAATAAAAAGTATGGAACTGATACGGAACGGAAGCTTACGTATACAATAGGCCTCCATACAATAAAAATACGGAACGGATATGGAATGGATATGGAATGGATATGGAATGGAAACGGAAGGTATAGTGAGAATCAACCTTTAAGCTTCATTCAGAACCTCGCAATTAGTGGATTAAATTAGTTTTTCAATTAGTGCAGAAGTTTGTTTCTCTGATTTGAATGTAAGCATTCAGAACAACAAAATTAGTGGTAGAAATTTTCAATTAGTGGAAACTTTTAAGTTTACACTACACAACTATTAAAACAAATTAAAACAATTTTTATGGCTTTGACAGCATCAAGAACGTTCTCAACCAAACAACCCGTGAAAAAGCTACGTACTAGACTTTTCTCTGGATGCTACAGTTTCAAGGTATAGCTTTAACAACAAATTTAACATACCTATACCAGGAAGGGAAGACTGGATAAAAGGTGTAGCCATTCAAGCTTAGGCAACCTGGTATACACACGACTCAAGTATGTCGGAAGATCTAGAAGCTGAAATAGTAGGGCCGAAACAAGAAACATCTTTCCATGAAAGCCTATTTAAAGATACCACAATTTCCCAGGCGGAAATAATGGCAATCCTCTACTATGTAGAATAAATATTAATGCAGTAAAAAACACATCGTTCGGTGGCCATCTTAACAGACAGCACAAGCAGAGATAAAAGCACTCAGTTCTACAGAGGTCAAATCTAGATTAGTGTGGGATTGTGTGTGCTCTAAATACATAGGGTAAGAGTAGCAATGCTACGTTAGTCTGGGTACCACCAGCACGAGGGTCACAATGTCCAGAACCCTTCGGCGGCATTGCAAAAGCAGTCACGAGAATGGCTACAGAACAATGAGTAGCCAACAATTCTCTAAAATTGTGCAGAAATTGGCGAAAGCCAGGGCAGATACAGAGATAAAAGTTCATAAAAAAAAGTTCAAAAGAACATGTGACAGCACCTTAGAGACCTAACCTTAAGGAGTTCACGGCACAGTGTTTTCGTCATGCGCCATTTTATCTAACAGTGTCTTATACTCCCAACAATATTTGAGAATTAACTTTAGTTATGCCAGTTTAATTGTGATTTTACTTAATATCGACTATACATACAAGTCGAAACGTTATATAAAAACTCAAAATTTTAGATGATAGCAATCCAAAAAGATATTTTTCTACATAAATTGTTAGGCTACGTATTTAGGTAACGACTGATTTTCTATTTTTGTAATTTTTGTAATAGTATCCACAAAACTGGAACATTAAGAACTAAATAATACACAATAGTACACATTACTAATAATATATTTGCTATTTCAAATATATTGCAAAACAATTACACAATAAAATATTTAATTAGCTTCAAGTCTGTTTGAAACACTTAAGAATATAATATCTCAAATAACAGAAATCCATTTTAAATAAATGTATAGGTAGAGGTATTGGGCCATGTTTGAGTTGGGTAAACGATAAAAATCAAAGATATTGGCGAAGCGAATGATAGCATCAAAGGCATATATTTTTAGGACAGAAAGCATCGTTCTACTCGCTTCAACGTAAACACCTGTTTACAGATATATTCATTTCTTTTTTCATTGCTTCTCTAGTATTTTAACCTTTATCGTTTATAGCAGCTCCAACATAACCACGAACTTAAATTTCTTACTAATTATGGTTATAAGGTATGTAAGTATTTTCAGTTAAAATAAATAACACTTTGAAATTACTGAGGAATGTCGCACACAACAGCCGGCAAAGCTTCTACCAGTTTCTCAATTTTTTTAATAACAGGCTCACTTTCAGCAGGAATGTCTTCTACAATTACACTACCAGCCTGAAAGCCATCGTTGCATGGAGCTGCAGACACTACGGGTTGTGAAACTGGAGCTGGTCGTGAAGCTGGATAACTTGGTATATCCACAAAAGTAGCAGCCTTTACTGTAAAAGACGAAAAACGAAATGAGTCATTGGAAGACTAATCTTCAAGTTAATATTTTACGTTAAATTTATTGAAGCCAATTTTTTATCTAGTTTTGAAATTACCACCACTCAAATAATTTTTAATATATAAGTTGTATCTATCTAATTATTTTTTAAAGCAACAAAATATGTACTAAACTTTCAATGAGTATTAATAGTAAAACATTTTCAATAAAGTCTAAAACAGACATAAATTCACAATACACCAAAACATTTTAACAGTTTCAGCTTTAATCATCTGCATGCCAATAATGATAACATAGTAACGTGTTTAAAAAACGCTCAATCATAGTTCGAAGTGAAGTGTTTCGGCATATTGTGGTGTATTAGCGTTCTTGTAACGCCAACTTCAACTATATTCTAAAGAAGCTATAACTTCAAAATACTTTCAAGATTTGCCTTTATTCAAAACAGTTACCTATATCTTACGTATCCTACGACTATATCTTCGAGAGAAACATGATTATCTTACTTTTTGCTGGAGCATATCCTAATTCAGTTAAACTAGGTTGCTTCACTGGTGGTAAACTAGCCTCATATTCTTCAGAAAGAGCTAAGTCAATTAGTTCTTCTGCAGCCTCTTGTTCCAGATCTTCAGGTGTCAAATCGGCTTCTTTAGGCGCCTTTAACTCAACAATTTCACCGTTTAGTGTGTACAGGCTTCCTTCGGGAAGAAGTTGTTTTGTGATCTATAAACAATAAAAATAGGTGGCAGGTATATTTTTTGTTTACCTTAATATATACCGGGTGGTACATCGTCGTTGGAAATATAGGAAATCCCATGCAAATTTTGGACTGTCCAGATATTGGCGCCCCTATTGATTTTAGAGCGAAGTCGTAAATAGATTTTTTAAAGGTCTACGTATGGTAAACACACATGCCAAATTTGAACAGTTTTGGACGAGCCGATTTTGAGTAATTTTAAAAACACTGAATCGATTTTTAAATTAAAACTGAAGAAGTAACAATCAAAGGTAACAAACATTTTCAAACGTAGCTTAATTTTAATAAAATTTTAATATTCAGTACTAGTAATAATTTATTGTTATACGCATAAAGAAAAAGTGAGCATCATAAAATGGTACTATGCGGGAAATAGCTTAAACAGTGTATCTGACGTGTTTCGGTTTATTTCTCCCGAATATTAAAATTAAATTACTTTTGACATTGACAAAATCATAGTTTGTAAACCTAAGGTATGTAAAATTTTGACTGGCGTTTGATTGTTACCGATTCGGTTTTAATTTAAAAATAGATGCGATATATTTTAAATTACTCAAAATCGGCTAGTTCAAAATTGTTCAAATTTGGCACGTGTATTTACCATGCATTAACCTTTAAAATGTATTTACGACTTTGCTGTAAAATCAATAGGGAAGCCAATATTAGAACAGTTCAAAATTTGCATGGGATTTCTTATGTTTCCAACGACTATGCACCACCCGGTATAACATATGGGGTGAGTCTGCACGTAGCATGGAAAAATCTAGAAGAGGCCTATATCCCACAAGGAGGAACCAGGCTGAGAACGAAGAATTTTTTTATTTATTTAAAAATATGCGAAAAAATGTCCCTCTGTCTCGATCTCCTAGGTGTATTTAAAAATAAAATTAGATTTTAATAAAGTATTAGGAAATATAGAATTAAATATTTTTTTTTTTAAAAAAGACGCAACCTAGCTGTTGCAATTCATCTCTAATACAGGGTGTCCCAGAAATAAGTGCAAGTATTTCAACTGGTAGTAGATATAGTTGAACCCCAGAAACGCGCCTATGAAGTTTTTTTCGCGAAAAAAAAAATTTTGAAAATTCTTTTAGAATTTTTTTTTGGTTTTTAATTAAAAAACATAATTTCTTGATAATATGGCAACATAGATTAGATTAAATTTACAAGAAAGAAAATCCAGGAAAGATCGAGTGGTTCTCAAAATTTTAGCAAAAATCATTATTTTTGGAAATTTTCAAAATAAAATAACTTCGTTATTTTGGACTTATTTGAAAAACGATAAAGAGAAAATGTTTCTTTTATCGATATCTACCACCCCTTAAAATACTTGCATTTATTTCTGGGACACCCTGTATAAGACCCAATCTTTGTTAAAGTAAAAAAATTAGGTACATGCAATTTAACAGTGATACTATTTTAGTTAACAGTAACAGGTAACGTTGAAATTTGCCAATTGAACTTACCCATAGTTCAAAAGTATTTTTATAATACTCCATATTTTAGCCCTGATGCAGAACCCTAAATGTGCAGGCTAGACTCGTTACTGATCGATTTTTTGTCAATATTTGCATTTGATGCAGAAATAGTTATTTTCTATACAAAACGATAAAATGGTATTTTATCGTCGACCGAAAAGAGATAGATAATGCAATTTTATCGTCACGTCGTGTATAGTATAAAACAATATTTTTTTCCAAAAAATATTCAGAAATTATTATTTCAAGGGATTTATTAGGAGTAGAAAAAATATTGTGCTGGGTTGGCGTTGGTTTCTTTGTAATTTGACAAATAAATAACTCTCTTTCGTGTGGATTGCTGATTGAATTGGAGCCAGAAATGGCTCAAAAGGAAATAAGTAAATTACCAACAGATATTCGGATGAGGCGACAAACTTCATATCCAAACTACTTCCATTTAAATCTCGAATAAATTATAAAAAGGAATACAAAAATTATCAAAAATGGAAGCAATCAAAAAACGTGCGAGAATAAATAAAAATTTTAACCTATCCTCGCTGTTAAAGTATCATTTAATCTACCCTTGCGGTTAAAGTACTATTTTTGATAGATATAAGGCAATTTTAACAGTTGCTATGGAAAAAACAAATTAAATTAATTCTTTTACAAAATATACTTACTTTTGGAGCAACTATCTTAGGGCAGGGCTGTTCTATAGGCAGCTTCTTGAAACCAAAATACAGTTTGTCTTCTGCTATCTTTTTTTCAATAGAATTCTGGGCCAGTTTGTATGCGAGCGCAAGTGATACAGCATCTGCTGGAGCTGCTGACGGTAATACGTTTCCGGTACATGCTTGCTGATATGCATTCGCTACATCAATTGCCTGATATCCCTAAACAGTTTTATAATATACAGGATGTTTCAACAAACATGTGCCATCTCTCGTGGAGAGATTCTTCACGTAAAAATATGACTTATTTTTCATATCAACATAGGGCCGATTCTGCTTTGTTTCGTATCTACAGGGTGTTAAAGTCTTAATAATCTTTCCATTTAATATAATTTTCTTCCAAGTACTTTTAGTAATTTGAATGAAATTTTGAGGGTAAAAGTTACTATAAGTGCTACATACTTTTTAATGCTAACAAAGTGTCGACAGATTTATCAGGGATGTGCATATGGGTTATGACTGGAATATTTTCTAAAAAAAACATGTGCACAACTGATTTTGTGCTCTTGTTGGTAAAATTGCGTAGGCCTAGGCAAAAATCTACTATACCGAGTTCGTCTCAAAAGTGGCTCGCCCCTATACCTTTTTTATTTTTTCAGATAAAAAAACGAGATTTGGTATGTCAGTATCTACATATACAAAATGCTAATGTTTATCTGTGTCTTCTCTACTGAAGTAACGACTTGCTCTAGAAAGTTGTTTTTTTTTCACTAAAAGATAGTTAATTGGCTCTTCTAAAAACTGTCATCGCCGAATTTTTTTTTTTTCGTTTGATTTAAAAAAAATAAGTATTTTTTCCTGATGTCGTGTCGGATGCGCCAGGCCTCAACTAGTATGACATAAAATAGGATTGATTGACGTATTCAATATTGTTTTCGGCTACTTCCTGTTTCGCCGGAAATGGTTACAATTTCTGATTTTTAAATGGCATCCTCAGTATTTTTTTTTTACTTTATTCGATAGAAAATGACACTCTGAATAGAATGACATACCATAAATATGTCAACTTTTGATATTTTGGCTTAAAACAAAATTGTATTTTAAATGTCAATCTAAAGTGCCATGGTTGTGTTAATAACACTGATTTTTTGAAAGCCTTTGGAAAATATAGATTTGATCGTCTAATATTTTTAATGTTTTGTCCTGGCCGGTTAAAAGATGCCCAAATCGTATTTTTAACCATATCTTAATTGTTTCAAATGGAACGAGGGTGGCTCATTACCATATTTGGAAAAAGCATTTTTTACGAATCATTTGATACCACTTGGTATTTCGAGTCAAATTGCCGTTATGATTGCAATTTCAATTTCAAAAATTTAATTTCGTCAAATTGCAATTTCAAATAAGCCATATTCGAAAATGTCAAAAGTTGACATATGATATGTCATTCTATTTAGAGCGTTATTTTCTGTCGAGTAAAGTAAGAAAATACCGAGGGTGCTATTTGAAAACCAAAAGTTGTAGTCATTTCCGGTAAAACAGGAAGTGGTCGAAAACAATTGAATACGTCAATCAATCCTAATCCTAATTTATGTCATGTACTAACATACCAAATCTCGTTTTTTATCTGAAAAATTAAAAAAGTTATGAAAAAGTGAGCCACTTTTGAGACGCACCCGGTATTGTGTAAGCAATTTAATGCCACTTAAAAGTGTATCTTGATAAATACCAAGATACACTTTTCATTCTCCTTGATGGCAATCAAGACAATCTCGATCTAACTTGATCACAATTAATAAATTATACCGGGTGCGTCTCAAAAGTGGCTCACACCTATAACTTTTTTAATTTTTTCAGATAAAAAACGATATTTGGTATGTTAGTATATGACATAAATTAGGATTAGGAGTGATTGACGTATTCAATTGTTTTCGGTAATAATAAAAAAAAATCAGTGACACTCATGATGCTTTTAGAAAAAAAAATTAACCCATATGCACGTTCCTGGTGAATATTTATGTCGAAACTCTCTTTTTAGCATTAAAATATGTCGCAATTATAGTAACTTTTACCCTCAAAATTTTATTCAAATTGCTAAAAGCACTTGGAAAACATTATAATAAATCGAAAAAAGCTTTGACACCCTGTAGCTACAAAACAAAACAGGATCGGACCTATGTTGATATGAAAAATAAATCTTATTTTTACGTGAGAAATCTCCCCACGACAGAGAGCACATGTTTTATGAAATACCCTGTTTGTGATTATAATTTTGAATCAAAAAAAAATTAAAAAAATATCTTGTTACCTCGGGTTTTGAAAATGTGGGAAGAACTACAGGGCTAGGTGACTCATGTGCTGGAATTTCTGGATTAATGGGAACTAGAGTAGATGTGTCTTGCAGGTAAACTGGATTTGTAACAACAGCTGGCTTAACAATAGTGTGTCTCCTAAAATTTACACATAATTTTTGTACATTGCAATATCTTTGATATAGGTAAAATTAAATCGTTATGTATAGTATGTTCAAAAGGATTGTTTTTTTTTATTTGTTTGTGATATGAAGAAATTAATATAAAGAGTATACCTGAAACAAGGTCCTTTGAATAGAGATCCATACAGTGGTAATATTACAGCAGGTTTCTGTAAAGACTTTGGACGTACCACCCACGATCCTGGGGGAACTTCAACAGGAGCATCTGACAAACCCAAAGCACTTGCTCTATTTTTACATTCACAAAACTGGCCATTTACCTAAAAAATCGAAATGACAAAGAGCTTTAAAAAGAGAATCCATGTAGAGAAATTAATAAAAGAACTTACATAATTTAATAGAAAAATTGAACCGAAAATAATACCTGCCAATTTGAGCAGCATCTTACTTGCGATTCGAAAAAATGAATGATAGAAAAACGTGCTCAAATTAGCTTGGATATAATTTATACTTCCTTATTGAAGTGTTTTGTCTTTCGGATTAAATGTTGATGTTTTCATTTATTAAAGGTTAATAATATATATTCTAAGAAGTATTAACTATATAGTTCATCGAACCACCAATTTGAATTGTATAGGATACTTACTTGGACTTTGGTAACGTGCCATACTTTTTTCTATAATGTCATGCTCTTGATTACACTGGAAGCTATATGTGAGAAACTATATACAGGACAGTTGTCTCTCATTTAAATCAAAAACTAAATTAGTCCAGTAAATAAGACCACAGATCTCGGCGTAATTCGTCGGCCATGACTTTTTAGGCGGATTGTGTACAGGATGGGTCAAATTCGACGCTTTTAAAGGGAAACACCCTTTTCTATAGGAGATAGACGAAAACTAATATCGGTGTCTGGAGCTCAATTTTCATCAAAAGCATGATGGTGAAAACCGCACATCAATATCTGTTACCATTTCGGAGTTACAGGGTGTTTTTCAAAAATGTGCATTTTTAACAAATCACTGTAACTTTTTGCTATTGAAAATTTTTGTATTTCTATGAAAACATTTCCAAAGCACGTTTTTACGTAGAATTTAATGGTTTAAGTATAATTTTTTAAAATTAATAATTTAAGAATTATCAACAGAAAATTTGATTCTTTATATGGGACACCCTGTATATTTTTAATTTATTGAAAATAATTTAAAATTACCTTTCAAAAATATAACACACTTGATATTTTGCTCGATTCCTCTTCGAGATATATAGAGTATATAAAAATTCACCCACTTTAAATAAGTAGGCTTTGAACGGCGCGGGCTGTAATGCAAAAAAATCTAGCTGTGAGCATCAATTAAAAACGAAAATAATATTTGCAATGAGAGATGCAGAATTTTATAACAATTTAAAATATATTTAACCAACATCAACACATTTAAACTATATCTAATAACAATAAAAATAAATAGCAAACTAAGACATGAGATTTTGCTACAAGTGTTCGACATATCGACCGTCTTCTGTTATGGACAAACGGGGCAGTTTTTGAACATTTCTCGCGGAATTCATTAACTCAGAGGGAGTGAAAGATACCCTCTCATAACTGCTAAGTATTTCTAATCCTTGTGTAGATTATACGGAAGAATAAGGAACCTTTATTCTTCCGCAAATATATCCATAGGATTAGATTCATGGGCACTAAGTCAGGCGGCCTCGACGGCCAACGGCTGGGATCTTGGTTAGCTATTCAAATATTCTTGAAATTGGCTGCAAAAATTTGCTGATAACTTCAGCGTTCTGAGGCGGTGCGTTGTCTTGCGGGAAAAATATGTTTTCGAGTTCCATTAAGGGAATATCATCAATAAGGGGTCCAAAGCCTACTAGTTAAAAGTGGCGAACTTTTAAAAATTCTGTATTTCAAAGGGGATTATAACAAAATATCAAGTGTGCTATATTTTTGGAAAGGTAATTTTAAATTCTTTTCAGTTAATTAAAAATACAGAGGGTGTCCCAAATAAAAAATCAATTTGTCTGTTGATAACTCTTAAATTATTAATTTTAAAAATATTATACTTAAACCATTAAATTCTACGTAAAAAGGTGCTTTGGAAATGTTTTCATGGAAATACAAAATTTTCCATAGCAAAAAAGTTACAGCGATTTGTTAAAAATCCACATTTTTGAAAAACACCCCGTAACTCCGAAACGGTAACAGATATTGATGTGCGGTTTTCACCATCATGTTTTTGATAAAAATTGAGCTCCAGACACCGATATTAGTTTTTGCCTATCTCCTATAGAAAAAGGTGTTTCCATTTAAAAGCGTCGAATTTGACCCACCCTGTACCTTTTGGGGAGTAGTTTTAGGGGATTGTAACATAATTGTAACACCACGCTCGGCAAGCTTTGCAATTTACAAAAAAAAGCTTAGGTAATTACCTATAAAAAGGGTTCTTGTAATTCTTTACGTAAAATAGGTAGTTTTCGAGATATTCTGTCTTGAAGATCTCTGAATTTTCTCTCCAAATCTTAACGCTCGCGCTCCGGGGATAGATTTCATACGCGTATCATTGATTGATAGAACAAATTGTTTAATAACTCGGCTAAAATTTAATAATTTTTGATGATTTAAAGTTTATTTAAGGTATTTTAGGTACAATCAACAGCTATTATATTTTGGAATTTCTTTGGATTTTATCATATTTTATGATAATAAAAAGACCAGGCAAAACCATTCCCTGGCCCAAAAAGATTTTTACAAACATATTCATATTTTCGCGAATAATAGCTTATTTGTCAAGATTTTTTAACAGTTGTTCTTAGAGTCCCTTTAAGCAACTCAGATAGTTTGAAGTATTTGTTTAATCACATTTTAACAAAAGAAAAACAACTATTCGTGAGTGGCTTTTTGGAATTTCCGAAAAGTGTCGTAAACAAAAGAAAATTGCATAATAACTTTATAATAAGTAACAAACATCAATGAGGAGTTAGAAATCAATAATTAAAGTTCAAAATTACCTGCAATATCTTGCAACTCTCCCAGAGTATATTATTCATATCCATTTTCCAGGATATACTGGATTTATACTTCACCATTATTTGGTGTGGATTTGGGGGAACAACCAAAAGAAAGTTTCGGTTCAAGTGGAAATATTCTCAGTGCTGGTAGATTTCGATAAAAAACATATTTTCTCTTTACCATTTTTCAAATAATTCTGAAATAACCGAGTTATTTTACTTTGAAATTTAAAAAAATGATCTTTTGCTTTGGAAACCAATGGATCTTTTCTGCGTTTTCTTTCTTGTATTTCCCCATATGTTGCAATATTATCAACATATTATGTTTTTTTACTTAAAATTTAAAAATATACTATTTTTTTTTGAAAAGTAATTTTTTTTCGCAAAAAAATCTTATTTGCTGGTCTTGAAATATACTACCTCAAAAAATATTAGCACTTACTTAAGACATGGTTAAGACTCACCCTGTATACATTTCTTTAATGTCATTGTTTTTAAGCAGTGACCAAATCCGAAATCATTATATTATCCAAAAAAATCCTTATGGGTTTTTCGCCACTGCACTGCAAGAAAAATCTACAAAATAAAATAGTTATTTTTTGTAAACACTTCTGCGTTAAACCTAAACGGACGCTGCTTGTCAGAAGTTGTGTTTACAGTAATAAAAATTTGCCTAACAAAGAAAAAAATGCTTAACGTTTCGGAAAGTTTTCTCTTTCCGTCGTCGGAAGCAAAAAAAAATATAAAGAATCAAGAAAAAAAAACTATTTAAAATATTTAAATTGAACTATTCGAGAACACTTTACTTTTTAAAACAGATACGTCTACAAGAAATCGTTTACGTTCTCTCTCTTATTATTAAGTTTTTTTGGATAGATGAATCCGCCACATAGGTATAGACAATTTTTAATCATTATATTATATTATACAGGGTGTCAAAAAATAATGTGTCTCTGTGATTCTACAAATAAAAATAAAACAAAAAGTTTCTATGATCATATGCTCTAAAATGCGTCTCGAAGAAGTTAAATAAAACAGCCCTGAAAAGGTTAAATAAAAATAATATATTTTGTTTTGAAGAACATTGGTAAACCGTTTTTCTTGAAATTTGGTACTCTTATACACATTTTAATGCCAAAGCGAATGGCGATAATGTACATTCCGTAACAGCCCTGAAAGGGTACTTTCATTAGGATAGAGAGTGCTACTGGTGGCACTTGTTAAATAGATACAGTAATGTCAATAGATGAAAATTAGAGCTAGGACTTTTTTATGTAAATAAAAGCTCTAGCTTTTTCTATCACTTGTTGAAATTACTGTATCTAGAAGGATAAAAGAAGTACCACCAGTAGTACTCTCTATCCTAATGGAGAGTACCATTTCAGGGCTGTTACGGAATTTTTCACAATCGCCATTAGCTGTGGCATTAAAATATCTGTAAAAGTACCAAATTTCAGGAAAAACGGTTTACCAATGTTCTTAAAAATAAACAACATATAGGGAAATTAAAATAACTTTCGTTGCACATCATAATACGACCACCAGCAAACTCCATAAGACGACACATAGTGAAATTGATGACGTGCAACGAAAGTTGTTCCAATTTCTCTATATATTATTTTTATTTACCCTTTCGAGGGCTGTAACTTCTTCGGGAAGCATTTTAGTGCAAATTATGTTCATTAGAATTTTTTGTTTTATTTCTATAATATATAAAATCACCTCACCGACATTAGATATACTATTTTTTGTAACCCTGTATATTTAACAAATCTTTGAGTGAAAATATCAAATAAAAAACCTGGAATCTATTTGAAGCCATAAGATATCATTATATTTATAGAGTTTTACGATACATACCACTTTCTTATGAATATCTACCTAAGGTTTATCTAAAGGTATCTTATACGAAGTGGTTTAAAGGTAGCAGAATAATACTAAAAACAACTTTTAAAACAGACTTTAATAAATATATAACCTGTATACATTTTTTAGAATTTAATTAATATAATAATTTAAAAAAATCTTAAAAACAATAAAAAATACATATTTTGTGTATTATAAGTTAGATAAAAATGAATTAATAGAAAGATACAAAAATATCATACATTACAAAACAAAATTTTATAAAAATATATGACAGTAGAAATATCCACAAATTAACTACTGCTACAATTATAGCTAAAGCAATGAAAAAAATTAATGAAAGATAGCGATGCATATAGAATAATATACATTCAAAAAAGAAATGATACTTTCTTAAAAATAACAAATGCGATATTATTAAATATATAAAATGTGTATAACTAGGTAAATTATAATATTAAAATACAAACTACTTAAAAAGAATTGGGTAGATTGCTATGTTTAAACACCTTCGGCACATCGTCAACGACAGATATTTTGGAATTGTAATTCGGCAAGAGTTCCAATAAATCTTGAATCTGGTTCCCGATATCTTTATGCTTCCCTTGTTCAATTTTGTTGAGCGCTATTTTTGAAGAAGTATATCCTGTATTCACCAGCTTGTGAATGAAGGATAAAATGGCATCTTCGGCTGGTTTAAGAGCGTGCTCAAGCTCGGGACTAAAAATAAATAAAATTAAGTAATCTGCAAAAATTCATGTCTTAAGGCTCAATGTCTAAATATAACTGAACAATTCTCACAGAACTGAAATATCCATTGACTTGCAAACTAATACCTAAAACTAGTATTATTAATGGTCTGATTGTAAAACAATCAGATTATATTTTTTATACAGGGTGAATTTTAAATAAGTGCAAATATTATCAGGGCTGGTAGATCTCGATAAAAGAAACAGAAGAATATTTTCTCTTTGCCGTTTTTCAAATAAGTCTAAAATAACCGAGTTAGTTTACTTTGAAAATTTAAAACAAAAATGATTTTTTGGTTAAATTTTGAGAAACACTGGAGCTTTTCTGAGTCTTCTTTCTTGTGAATTTAATATACTCCCCATGTTGCTATATTATCAAGAAATTGTGTTTTTTAACTAAAAACTAAATTTCCAAAAAATATTTCAGAACAAATTTTTCAAAAAAAAATTTTTTTTTGGATCGTATGGTAGTACATAGAGATTATCATTTTGTAAAAACAACAACTATGTTTAAAAGCATTTAATAAACAGCAAATCGAGTAGCAAATTAAATACAAAAGCAAGAAAATATACATGCTTTACTCCAATTCAATTATTGTGTCCGCACGAATATTTTTGAAAATAATAATAAACAAATTACCTTTTGTTTTACGTACAACAATAGATAGGTATATGCAATGCATTCCATAATTTTTAAAAGTATCTACGTATGGATAATATATTTTGATTTGAAAGTAATTTTAATGTTATTGTTTCTTACTTATACTGTTTAATATTAAATATTTTTAAGGAGATACGAGTACATCGAGTAGTAGCAAAATCTGAAAAATTCCATCTCACCATTATTATTAACTACTACTTCATTTAATTGTCATTCAATTAATGCTTGAAATTTATTTTGTATACCTACCATAATATTATAGTAAAATGTTACTATGAGCTTTAATTCAAATATATAAGTAATAAAATACAAAATTGTTTTCTTCCTAAATAACTTTTTTACGAATTTCAGAAAACTAGACTTATTTTCCTTTAAAAAAATGTTATACTTTTTAAGATTGTCTGTATACACTTATACCGGGATTCCCAGGCTGGGCGTGCATTAGAAGTTTCTAGAGAACTACAATATCTAGATCGGAGATTTTCTGCACATCATTGTTGTACAACAAGATCTATCGATTAAAAATATTTTCAATATGACGGCACTTCCGAAAATACCGGAAGTTGACAGCAACTTTCTTATTTTAAATGGGTGCCCCCATTTTTTTATTACATACTTAAGTCCCTGTAAAATTTTTTGAATTTTGATAGCAAACACTCTATACCTAACATTAACCGTTTTTGAGAAAAAAATATTTAACATTTTTGGACGAAAAATGAATCTTGAATCTAAAAAATACAACTTATAACATTTCCTATAATAGATATATCTTTACAGTTACCTGAAAGTATGTCCTGAATAAACGGAGTTTTGCAGAGTTCTCAGTTGGAGGCAAATTAGCTAAACTAAAGGTAGTCTTAAGGGCTTGTCTTGATGTAATTCTATTGTATAGAGTTTATCTTAGATGGTCAATATGTTTAATATAGCTTGGGCAGTGATATAGCTTTAAAAGATAATTTAATCCTGACTGAAACAAGTCATCTTTGTTAGCATTTTTTTTTTAAATATGTCGAGGTATTGACAAAGATTGTCATCTTTTTTCAGTATCGATAGGCACATTTTTGACTTGTTTCAGTCAGGATTAAATTGTCTTTTGAGACTGTATCACTGTCCAAGCTATATTAAACATATGAACCATCTGAGAATCCCTTAAGATCACCTTTAATTTAGCTAATTTGCCTTCAACTGAGAACTCTGCAAAACTCCATTTACTCAGGACATAGATTGGACATATCTAGGACATATCTATTATAGGAAATGTTATAAGTTGTATTTTTTAGATTCAAGAATGGATTAGTTAGATCCTTTACAATATGGACAAGTTAGATCCTTTACAATATGGATGGAAGAAAGATCAAAAAGGCAATCTAACATCTATTCAATCAACATGTGGCGTCTCCTCACCTATTAAAATTAATTTTTTGCAATTGCAAAGATCAGTCCTCTAAAAATTGCTCTTGTAGAAAACTGGGTCTTGCATATTCTTCAGGGTGTGGTCAGTTGCACGAACTTTTGTATTTTAGTTGAGGCTAAAATGACGCTCAGAATGACGTCATAGCAGATTTTATTTAATAATTTTAATTTAATAAAAAAAATTTAACAATAATTTTATTTAATAAATAATATTTACACGTTATTTTTAATTGTTTTAATGCTTAAATTTATACTTGGTATATCTATATTAACACATTACTGTTAACGCAAAAATTATAACTGATTGGTTTAAAAAAACTAGAAAATTTATAAAATGTATAGTAAAAAATTGCTCTATCTCTATTACTATTTATTTTAGAGTGTATGTAAAGTGTATGAGTAAAATGAAAAGTTTTTGACATATTTAACATTTTGACCAAATTGGAATTTACCCTGTACAGCCTAATATGCAGTTAAAAAACTATTGTACTTTCAATTAAATAAAAACTTGACCCAAAACGTTATACAGGGTGAGACAAGATAATATTGAACATTGGCCATATTTAAAAGCCAGTTACTCTTATATTTTAAATGGCACACCCAGTATAATCTTCCGACATTAAATGGGGAACTCATATCTCTTTAAAATACCATTAAGATTTTCTTTCTCTCAAACAAAAAATTTCCTAGATATTTTCATTTTCATAATTTAGTGTCAGTAGATCTTTATTATTTGATAAAATCTAGGTGGCTGTGATATGCCCGACGTTACTTTAACATAGCTGTCAAATTATTTTAACTTTAACAACTACTTATCATTTTGTGTCAGTTAAAACAAAAAAATCTCAGAAATTTGCTGATACGAATCTATTAACTGATGACTGCAATGTACAGGGGCATCATTTTAAGTGTCTCACTCAATTTACAATTTTCCTGGATTCTATTTTAAGATAGTAAAGAGATATTTTAATATAATTTTTAGCAAGGATGTCGATTTTTTATATGATTTTTTTTAAAACGTCAATTTTGACAGGTACAGCGACTAACTTTTGTATTCTAGAAGCTAGAGATGGCCGACGCACCATTTTATAATGTACTCAATATAAAAAAAAACACTCAGAAAAACAGCAAAAATAATGTAAATCATCATTCAAAAGCTAATGTATTCGGTATAAAATCCTAACTACATTACATCTTAAGCTTGATTCTCATGCGTCTGTTATCCGTTGATGGCCCAACGTCATAGCTTTTGTCATATTACTTTTGTCATATCTGATTGGTCATAGCTTTTTCGCGCCACTTTTAATCCGTAAATTATTTAATCCATATTAGTATTTTAATACCTGTCAAAAAAATTTTTATAACCTAAAAGTCAAATTTAGTGATTACCACAGCCACTGTGCTGTTTCACTAGTGAAATAAAAAAAGTGGGTTTCCATTTGAAAAAAATGATTTATGATAATTTTTTAATCGCTCAATTCCATGACAGCTACCGCCATTATTATATAACATTTGAGCAATTTAATTTTTGAAGTAGATAGTCACATGTCTTCTCTTTATGTCACAGTGGCTGTAGTAATCAATAAATTTGACTGTTAGGCTATACAAATTTTTTTGACAAGTAGTTTTTTCGTTCAAAAATTTTAAATATGTTTTTTTTCTCAAAAACGCTTAATGCTAGATATAGAGTGTTTGATATCAAAATTCATAAAACTTTCCAGAGAATTTAAGTATGTAATTGTTCTCTAGAAACTTCTAGTGCACGCTCAGCCTGGGACACCCTGTATAAAACAATATACCGGATTAAAACAAAATCGTTAACTTCATTTAATTGTTTTTCTAGAATAAATGTTATAGTTAAATACGATATACCGTATGATCGAAAAAAAACGGCGTCCAGTTATGATAAAATGAGAAATGATCATCGACGACAATTCACATATAAATTTACATATAAAATGACAGCGATCTCCGTTTTTTTTCAATCATATTGTATTATAGTTAATCAAAATTCACATTTTTCTTCAAAAACACCGTAATGGCTTGTCATGATTGTTTCTATAATTTATTCAACGTCAAGATGCACGACGCAAACATGAGGCATGCACCTGAAGAGTAATACTACAGTGATATAATACTGTATGTATGATTGACAAAAAACGACGTCAAAGACAACTGGGGAATCACAATCAATGATAATTTTGGCGAGGTCAGTTTCTAGACGTCATTGACTAAAAATTGACATAAAACTAATAACACTAATTATAGAAATAAAAAAAAGCAAAAAAAATTCACCACTAAAAAATAAAGAAGAGTACGGGCCAAGTAAGTGACGTGTAGGACCTCGCCAAAATTATCATCGATTATCATTCCCCTGCCGCCTTTGACGCCGTTTTTTTTAGATCGGATGGTAAGGGTATGGTACTACAGTAATAAAATTCATTATTACTTACTGTAGCATTACTATTCACGTCCGTGCTTCATGTGTTAGTATGCGTTAGATACATTTTTGTGTTAAATAATATATACCGGGTGGTGCATCGTCGCTGGAAACATAGGAAATAGCATGCAAATTTTTAATTGCCGAGTGTTAATTTTACAGCGATGTTGTAAACATCAGGGTTTTTAAAGGTCTACGTATGCTGAATACACATGACAAATTTGAGCAATTTTGGACAAGCCGATTTTAAATAATTTAAGAAACTCTGGATCTATTTTTAAATTAAAACTGAACAGCTAACAATGCAAAATCAGACAAATGCCAACGTAATTTTAGTTGTCAATCTATGATTTTATCATTGTCAAATGTAATTTGTTGTGCTGTCTAGACTACTAGGGTATGGGTATAGTACTACGCTTAGTGCATAGATAAAAGAAAATAATCTACTATTAAGATAGATATGAAACTTAATAGTAAAATTTTGGGTCAAAGCGCCCCTCCATGTTTTTAGTGGAGACTACGTTTAACCCAGCGCCTTCGCCTTTTCTGCTGTAAATGTTTTTTATGTTTATATTTCAATTCAAAGGATTTATTTTTAAAGTTACACTGATATATTAGTATATCAGAGTAACTTTAATAAAACATAAGAATATATATATTTTACAATTTATTTTTTTATTTATTTTACAGAGTTTCATGTAAATGATCGTAAGTCGACTGGCTATCTAATGAATAGACCGAGATTTATAGATTTTAAAGCGAACGAAAAAAAATCAAACAACGAATACATACCATATATTTTCTTTTATCTAAGATACATACCTTATCGTCTTTTGGAAACACGTACATTTTTGCATTTTTGTTAGTTTCTTTGCAAGATGCAACGCAACAAGAAAACACCATTTTTACAGTTAATAAATAATAAAACTATTTCTGACTATGATATTTAAAATTTAGATAGATAGAAAATTAAAAAACAAACTTTAACAAGTATTTGCAAACGCAGGCCCAAATTCAATAAAAATCAAAATTTTTCCTGCGAAAATCAGGCTTTTTTCACTGAAAAGGTATTTTTCATGTATTTTTTGATTTATCAGCAGTCATTGTCAAGTTGACAATATACAGGGTGTTTTTGAATTAGTCTAAAAAATTTTTGGGGTGATTCCTCATGTGTTCTTAAAACAATTTTTATATAACCATTGGGTCTAAAGTACTTCCTTTCTGATCTACAGGGTGTTAAAAATTTAAAAAAATCGATTTTTTTGCTTAACATAAATGGTACTAATATATACATGACTGACCATCCTTTTTCAACAAAACTGATCTTTTGAGTTTTTCTTGTTCATCAAACGGTTGTCGAGAAAAAAATAAATATACTTATTGAGAGCCCGTCTTAATTCGTTTTCTAACGATTTTTTATTTTTTAGATTAATTAGGAAACACCCTGTATATCCATATAACAGGCAACCAAATAAACTAGTAACCTCTAAAAATTATTTTGCCTACCACTAGCGACATACCGTGTTTTTAGTGCGTACTAAATTATTTTATCAAAATTTCACCATATAAGTTTCCAGGCTATGGCTTAGTGTCCCCCGAAATGTATTTTAAAAACCTATTATTTAGAAAATACAATTTGGCATTGACAGAATTATAGGCATGACAACTTAAGTTACGTTGGCATTTGCCTGATTTGGCATTGTTACCTGTTCAATTTTAATTTAATAGTAGATGCAGATTTTCTTAAATTACTTAAAATCGGATAATTACCAAACCAAACCAAAAACTGTTCAAATCTGGCATGTGTATTCATCATTAGCAGACCTCTAAAAACCTATTTACGACTTAGCTGTAAAATTAATAGGGGAGCCAATATTTGGCTGGTTCCAAATTTGCATGGGATTTTCTATGTTCCCAGCGATGATGTACCACCCGGTAGATAAGTTTCTTTAAGTATTACCACAGAACAGATACAAATTGTATGTAATTGTATGTAATTTGTATCTGTTCTGTGGTATTACTTCATAATAGTTCATAATATACAGGGTTGTTCACCACATACGACACGGAGTATTGTAGCTAAATGATTAGATTTTTACAAATTATAAGTTTTGGGTTCGTTGAAGGACTATTAGAGCTACAATTTAAAAATATTTTTACAAGTACAAAGTGTCCCAAATAAATAAAAAATATCAAAGTTGTATTTTTTTAAATGGAACACCCTGTATATTATTACATTTTTAGTTTCTACGATTAAAATAAAGGTAAATTTGATTAAGGTTTATTACACTTAAAACTTATCGTTTTTGAAATATTTTCAATTTTGTGAAATTGCAGAAAAAATTTTAAGGCTTCATTTCTCCAAGGGTATCAAAGTTTTTAATACTAAATATTTACTGAAGTTTATTTATTGATCAGTTATTGTGTTGCAATAGTAAAAATTATAATACCCTATACAGAGTGTCTGAAATTTTATTTTAAATTATTTCCAGCTTTAAACGGCAATAACTTGTTTAATTTAAATGGAACGCCCTGTATAATTTAGGAGAATCAGATGCACAATTTAATTGTCTATCAAATTGTATTATACCACTTTTTATCTATCCCTTCAAGTTTTCGTAGAAAATGCATTTTCTTATAATTTAGACCTCATTTATCAATATACCCATGGGATATTGACATTTTCGATTGTTTTTAAAGCAACAAATCTACAAAATGTACAGGCTAGTAATATTATCGGTTTTAGTAAAATGATAATATTACTTGCCCATTTGCAAAAAGAGAATTACGAGGAGAATTATTTAAATCTTTGTAAAAGAGTATACCATTAATTAAATATACCACCATTATTTTCGCCCAAATACTAATTAATTACATACTTAATTATGTTCGTTAATAAATTATTCTAAATCAATGTGGATTTGAATCAGAAGTCAATATAATAATAAGTTATGAAAATGAATGTAGGTATCTGTTGTTATAAATAAGCATTTGTCAAAAAATGAAATCATTTTTAAGGTGTTAGTTTTTACCCCACTGTCTAATACACATACAAAATTCAGTTTTTTTAGTATTTGGAGCAATTATTATTAATCAACGCAAACAGTCAATTAATGTAGTTTGAATACTGGAATCATATTAATTGGTCCCCTTTAACAAATATTTAAACAGTTTTTTTTATTTTTTAATAAAATAAACAAACTATATCGACAATATTAATTATTAAAATGCATTTTCTACGGAAACTTGAAGAGATAAGTAAAAAATGGTATAATACAATTTGATAGACAATTAAATTGTGCATCTGATTCTCATAAAATATACAGAGTGTTCCATTTAAATTAAACAAGTTATTGCCGTTTAAAGCTAGTAATTATTTAAAATAAAATTTCAGACACTCTGTATAGGGTATTATAATTTTTACTATTGCAACACAATAACTGATCAATAAATAAACTTCAGTAAATATTTAGTATTAAAAACTTTGATACCCTTGGAGAAATGAAGCCTTAAAATTTTTACTGCTATTTCACAAAATTGAAAATATTTCAAAAACGATAAGTTTTAAGTGTAATAAACCTTTATCAAATTTACCTTTATTTTAATCGTAGAAACTAAAAATGTAATAATATACAGGGTGTCCCATTTAAAAAAATACAACTTTGATATTTTTTATTTATTTGGGACAATCTGTATCTTGTAAAAATATTTTTAAATTGTAGCTCTAATAGTCCTTCAACGAACCCAAAACTTACAATTTGTAAAAATCTAATCGTTTAGCTACAACACTTTGTGTCGTATGTGGTGAACAACCCTATATAAAATATAATAAAAAAATATTGTTATTACCTTATACTGGATCCCTCAAATGAATCTTCTAATGAAGTGGAAGATATAGTTTTGCCATCAATTACAAGCAACTACAAAATTAAATAAGACCATAATGTATTTATCACTATTTTACAAATAAACAAATAAAATATATACCATGTAAGAAACAGATAGCACCATTAATACAGATGACGGGTAAATCATTTTGTATGCGTTATATTCACAAAAGTTCTAGCAGAAGCAAAATAATACTTACATTTATATATGTGCATGTCTTACATACACTATATGTTTCTAAATAACAATATAAAACATGCAACAATTACATCAATTAACAAAATGATTAGCCTCGCAAAAATGCCCCATGAAGCAAATTTTACAAACTCAAGGCTGTAAATGCTATGTTTGTATTAACTTCTGATAATAACAAAGTTTGATAGGTATTATATAGGACAGAATAAAAGAAGTTTATGGTATCGATAATTGTTTACATAATCATCAACAATAATTTTGATATTAGGTATAATGAAAGAATATTCAAAATCCTTTAATACTTGATGTTTTTGTAATAATTATTGTTTGTAAACAATAATTTTAGAGCTAAAATAAGAATTACAATGTAGATAAATGCAAAATAACTAAATAATATAAGAATTCAACTATAACATACTCGGTTAATTTAATGTTAGTAATTATTCTAATGCATTTAATTTGATGGTGTAAAATACCAACAAATTAAAAATGTAAGTTTAATTAGAGTCATTTATTATGAGAGTATATATATTTATATATGTTATTGTACTGCGTATAATATATTATTCTTTGATACTACCGGTAGGCCTGGATGGTAACCAGACATATTTACATTAAGTAACTAGGAAAATAAATTATTGATATACCTTAATAAATTTTGAAACCCCCAAAAAAAAATTCAAATAGTTTTCAGTAGCCAAGATATTCTGCGTTTCTTTGGTATAATAACTCATTTTAGTTTATAATATTTGAGTTTAAGTCCCTAAACTACTCTCCGTAATCACCAGATTTAACTCTCCTTGATCGAGTGACAAAAATATCTTCGTAAAGGATCAAGTATTTTGCTGACAAATATAACAACTATTGTTACACTGATGATTGAGAAGTGGGTGGCTTCGCAAGAAGATAATGTAGAAAAATAAAAATAAATTTTCAAAAAAAAGTTTTGTCTTGTTGAGGAGAAACCAAAAACGTTTTAAGGTACACCGTATCATCAAAAAAAAGGACGTCCAGTTGGCTTAAAAATGACGACGTATTCCCGAGATAATTTGCCATATAAAATGACAGCGATCTTCATTTCACAGGCATCACTGACGCGGTTTTTTTTAAGCGTCAAGCTGCACAAGCTGCAAAACCCCAAAAACATTGTTTATGCGCGAGATAATATGCAAAAACTGTTTTAGCAAATATTTGAAGAGTTATTTTACAAAAACGTGTCCATTGAGTGGAATCATTGTTTTGTATCTCGTTTTTCCAGAAATAAAAATTAATATTTAATTTCTAAGAAGAAAAAATACAAAAAAAAATCAGGTAAGGCGGGTTTTGTTGCAGTATATGATACATATTGCGGGTTTTTCTACAGCAACATATTAGCATCCTAACTTGATTTTTTACATAATATGAAGGATCCAGGGAAAAAACTTGATAAGCGCCAATTTCATAATTTTAACAGTAGTAACGTAATTTCTAGTGAATTTTCTATAGGTGATTTTTGTTCTAGTTTGGGACTATGTTTATGTAAAGTTCAGGGTTCACTGTTTATATATGTCATTAGGCCATTTTTTTAAATGGATAAAGGTTGATTCTCACTATACCTTCCGTTTCCATTCCATATCCATTCCATATCCGTTTCGTATTTTTTATTATATTCACACTATACGTAAACTTCGTATCAGTTCCATATATTGTTCCATATCATTTAATCAAGAGATGAAAGAATAAATAAATATCAAAATGTTAACAGAGCTGGTACAAAAGGAGGTAAGAACTTGACAACGCTGTTTCCGATACGCTTCCGTCCGCCAAAAAAATGTATAGAAGGAAAGGATATGGAACGGGAGGGAAACGGAACGGATAGTGTGCATTGTCCTATTCATTTACATGATATAATATTTTATATAAACGGAAGAAAAACGGAAGGGAGCTGATATGGAAGGTATAGTGAGAATTTTGTAAGAAACATTTCAGATTACCCTCGTATATAGGCAACTAATAATACGCACATTAAAATAAATTAGTACTTTTTAATTATTACCTTAACTTTCGTATACATAGCAATATATGGCTAAAAATTGGGTAATTAGCATAACAGTGTTTTTAATTATGTATTCTAAAATATTCTAATTTTTTTTTTATTTCTAAACTTTTTATTCTATCTGTATATTTGTTTTAGATAGTTACTCTGTGGCTATAGATTTCTGTCTACAAATTTGACATACGTCTCTAGTCACAGCAGTTCTAATCTAACCTCAAAATTTATGAAACGTAAATAAATCATCACAATATTCATTTTATTATTAATTTGTCAATAATTTCATTTTACAATGAATTCTGTAGAAAACAGCCCTGGTAGAAAAGCACTGGAAGTCATGGGCCATGTAAATAAGGAAATTGTTTTTAAGAAACCTTTCAGTGTTCCTAGAAAAAAACGGAAAGTAAAAGTTTTAGATGAAGATACGTATGTTGAGGTATGATAAATTAAATCGTATATCTATTGGTGTGTTAACTTATATTTTTTAGCAAATTGGCAACATAATTCAAAGAGATTTTTTCCCGGATTTAGAGAAAATCAAAGCACAGAGTGATTATCTCGAGGCAATGGAGAAAAATGACACAGTTAGGATTCGTGAACTTTATATGAAATATAGTGGGAGTAAACCTAATCCCGAACGAAGTAAGTAGTGTATATTAATATAAGTTTTACTTAGTAATTAATGATGATTATTTATAATTTCAGTACCAAGTCCAGCTACATTTGAGACTCCAGCAAATATACATAACAAACAAGATGATGTGACATTGAACTTGGAATCAAATAACATAGCTGAAGAGCCAAGCCAGCCTAAAATTAAAATTAGTTTAGATCAATATTTAAATTCGCATACATCTCAAGATAATGAAAATTTTGAAGAAATTTTAGAAATAAGCGAACAGAAACATAGGGAGAAATATAAGCATTTTTATCAGCCTGAAGAAGGGAGTGAATGTAACAAACAAGCAATGATAACATTACCATCTATTGAGCAACAAGCTGCTTTACCTGAAAAACCATTTAATATTAATACTTGGGGGTATGGAATGGCATATTATCTACTTTCTAACATTTTAATGTTGTCTTTTTTAAGGTACAAAAACAAAAATGTCCTAATGTTTAATCCAGATGGTGAAGAACTAACAAAACAGCAAGAACTTGAATTAATTAGTAATAAACAAGAAATAGATCATGCAAATACTAGATTAATAATTAATCCTTTTAATGAAATAAGAAGTAAAGAGACCATTAACGAGTTAGCGAAAAGTCAAGCAAAGGTAAATACAGTTTAGTTTTAAATTTTTAATAGATTAACTGAACTCTGTATTAATATTTTAGGTATTAGATGGAAAAATTGGTGTCGATGGTAAAGAGTTGTTGAAGCAAGACACACCAAACATCGGTGGATACAGTTTTATAAGAACCCCTTCGCCATCGCCAAGTCTATTGGGAAGTCCATTGATGACTTGGGGTGAAATCGAAGGCACGCCTTTTAGGTTAGATGGCAGTGATACTCCAATATCAAGGTACTAATTAACAGATATGTTTATATAGGTACAGCATGTCCCAATATTCTGTGTTTATTTTTTTAAAGTTTGATGCCCTCTAGCAGGCAAACTTTTGTATAGAGGTAAATTGTGTCCAATGAAGTTATTTTGATTCCAAAAATACATAGTTGTTCTATGTAAACGGAATATTGGGATACCCTATATATGAATATTTATTCATCAATTTTTGGATTGATCGATTTCAAAGGCTTATTAATCATCACTTTTCATACATTCATTATTGTTCTAGGTCTCAAGGTCCATCTTTCAAAATGTCTGAACCCCCAAGAAGAGAGCAGTTAGCGTTAGCATTAGCTGAAAAAGTTGGAGAGAAAAATAGAGATAAGAAAAAGAAAGCTTTGGATGCTCAAAGGCGACAACTCAGTTCGTATGTATTTATTATAAAATTATTATAATTTGTATATAAAGTTTGTTGAGTTTTTTATGCCTAGTAGAAAAACTATCAAAAGATACCAACCCACATATTACAGAACATGTTTTTTTTTAAATTTCAGGCCATCTCCCAGACCCAGTAGTTCTGCCATCGATAGGTTAGCCACAATGTCACCTGCAGCAAAGAGACTAGCGTCATCGCATTTAAAATTAACTGTAAACTCTGATCTTTTAAGAACGACGTATTCGTCCAGCCCGTCAGGGTTTAAAACTCCATCACTGACTGGTACACCAATAACGCCCACTCCAAAGAGATGTGTTACTCCTAAAATCAGTTTAGGCATCAAGAAGGCTGAAGCAAATCAAGTATCAACTGACGATTTATTAAAGATTAGTTTGCCATCCCGAAATAAGGCCTCTGATTTTTTCTAAAATAAAATTTAATTGAGACTTTAAGTTACATTATTTGTATCTATGATTTGTATGATATGTAAATAAATTATAATTTTTATTCTTCTTATTATTAAATATATTTTTCCTATACTGATGAAGACACTAAAATAAAGTAAGAATTATTAAAAATATTCTTCAGAACTTAAATTCAAATGTGTTTTATTAGTTGCATATACTTTAGTACTGAAATCTTTTATGTTAGTAGTCCACTCAATTTATCCAAAAATTCACCTTTCCCGTATTTTTTTACATGCTTATTTTTATATTTACGTCGATTTTTAAATTTGCGAAACCTCCACATAACATTTTTCCAAATTTTAGTTTGTACCTCAAAAACAATCGACATAATCGAAAAATTGTTGAGAAAACAAAATGTTACTTCTCTCCTTTCTCGAAACTTCTATTCTGTTTCCAATCGACTACCGAAAAAGTAATGTATATACAGAGTGTCTCAATATTCCGTAGACATAAAACTACTATACGTATTTTTGAAATCAAAATAAGTGAGCAGTTAGCGTTAGCCAACTGCTCACCATAGCCATAGGGCATAAAACTTTTTTTAAGATATAGAACCGCGCGTTATTCAGATCTGAGTGAGATTTGGTATGCCTATACCGGGTGCCTCTCAAAAGTGGCTCACAAATACGATTTGACATCTTTTAAACTGTCAGAACAACGCACGAAATACATTCGACGATCAAATCTATTTTTCCAAGGCTCCTTGATTAACAATTAGTGTTTTTATAACACAGCCATATGGCACTCTAGATTGAAATTTAAAATACAATTTTTTTAAAGCGAGAATATGAAAAGTTGACATATGATATGTCATTCTATTCAGAGAGTCATTTTCTATTGAATAAAGTAAAAAAATACCGAGAGAGCCATTTAAAAATCAAAAGTTGTAGTAATTTCCGGTGAAACAGGAAGTAACCGAAAACAATTGAATATGCAATGAATCCTAATTTATGTCATATATACTAACATACCAAATCTCGTTTTTCTATCTAAAAAAAATAAAAAAATTATAGGAGTGAGTCACTTCTGAGACGCACCCGGTATATGTTTTGATAAGTGCTTATTTAACATTTAACTTTGACAAACATCAAGAGAAAGTACGTGAAGAGTAAAAACTACCCCCACCCGGGAGTAACATTTAATTTTCACAATATATGGTGCTTTTAGTATTTACATTTCTTGTCTCTTGTCATAGATTAATCTGGATTGATCATTATTGATTCATGATGCATCATTGATTGATAACTTAACGTATGTTGACATTTGACTGATTTTGCTTTGTTTCCAAAAAGAAATGTCTCGTGCAACTTTCTCCTATCTAACACCATTTTGTCACAATATAAAAATAAATAATTTTTTTAATGAGAACCTTAAATATGCGAATTATTTTAACTACCTTAAAACTAAGAATTTTATTATTAACAATAAAAAAACTTCTAGTTTAAATTTATAATTTTTTAAAAATTTAAACGAGCTAATAATAAAAAGTACTAAGGTTACTCAAGCTGTGTAACTCTCTGTATGCACATGTATTTCTGCCCTTGAGTTATAATAATTCGCTGTATTTAAGATTCTCATTAAAAAATATATTTTTAAATTGTGGCAAAATGGTGTTAGATAGCAGTGGCGGATACAGAAGGGGGCCCATGGGGCCCGCCCCCCCCCCCTAAGATCTGTAAGTTTGTTTAAATCTTAGCCTTTTGGGTTAAAAATGACGCCCTAAAAGGCATATTTTAAGCGGCCCATACATTATCAAACAAATCGCGCAACGAAGCGATGCGCAACGTTCCGTTGCACAACTGTATCACCCATGCACTTAGCAAAATTTTGATCAAACTTTTCATTAAAAGTTGTGCATTGTTTGAGAAATAATAATGTCCTCAATTGCCATTGCGTTCAATTGTTATCGTATATACACTAGGTAATTGCAATGATACCAAAAAACAAAAAAGAAAACAAAGAATTTGGATGAAAGAACTAAAATATTGCACAACGAAGCGCAACACACACATACACTACACAACGCGCTGCGCAAACGCTTGTTGCTCAAAAGAATTCAAACATTCTTGAAACTTATCAAACATTTGCGCAACGCGTCAAACGTTAAAATACATTGGCAACTCGTTGCGCAACAGCCTGCATTGCGCAATTTGTTTGATAATGTATGGGCCGCTTTACATTATTTTTGATTTGGCCCCCTCTAAAATAAATTCCTGTATCCGCCTCTGGATAGGAGAAAGTTACAAGCAAATACGTTACAAGAGACATTTTTTTCTTGGAAATAAACCGAGTAAATAAAAAAAACTCTAAAATTTTTATTTTTATCAGTGGCGTACTATTTTTTTTTAATATCCGATGCGTATCACAACTAAACCACTAGTTGAAACTAAAACCTCTCCTTTTTACATTTAAAGTGTCTCTGTTAGGTAGACTTCTATAATAACATTTTATAACGATACCTTCAACTGTTAAAAAACTAGTAAAGAATATCTTTAATTTTCAAGAACTTTAACACCCTGTATCTTGCGTAAGAGGCATTTCCGACCCTTAGTGTGCTATATCAAAATTAATATTTCGACTCATCTATCATTCCCCGAAAGCATGACCGACTTACAGGAATCACCCTGTATATGCAGTTTTTCTTAAATAACTTAAAATCGGCTTTGTCCAAAACTGTTCAAATTTGGCGTGTGTATTCAGAATAATAATATGCAGAACTTTAAAAACCCTATTTACGACACTTAGCTGTGAAATTAATAGGGAAGCAAATATTTGGACAGTTCAAAATTGGCATAGAATTTTCTGTTTCCAACGATGATGCATCATTGCACCCGGTATATAACAAGGGTAACAACAAATTAATAGCGCTAAACAAATATTTAAATATTATATTTCCGATATAAATATTCTAAGAACAAAAAACGGCCGTCTAGTTAGCTAGGATTCGAAACAACGATCGATGACATTTCCTATACAAAAAGTACACCTAATCTCAGGCGGTGTTATTTTCGATCAGAATTTTTTTTTTGGACAGTGACGATTTCTTAAGACATTACCCAGTTATTTTACAAATACAATACCTTAAATTTTAGTACGACTAATATCGGAGATGGAGAACTAACCTATATAAAACCGTCTCAGATACTGGCTTTTGTCAAAGCCCTGAGACTGAATGATGAGTTATAACCTGTTAATATTGAAGAAAGGGAGACAATAATAGGTCTGTAACATCACGGTGATTAACCCCTCTCCCATACATTATACATTCTACAATTACAACAAAGTACAATAAGATTGAAAAAAAAGTTGCCAGGAGAATGACAATCGATGGTAATTTTGACAAGGTCAAGCCCTAGACTTCTGTTTTTTTTAAAGGCGCTTACTACCAATTGACCTTAAGAAGACTGTAATTTAAAATTCGAGAATTTTTTTTTGGAAAGAGATTATGTGTATGGAAACATTCTATCTTCAATCTCTTCAAACACATATATAGTTAAAAAAAGATAGAATCTTCAATCAACGATTCTATCCTTTTTTAATCTTTCTATAATTAGTGTTAATTTTTACAAGTTTTATGTCAATTTTTAGTAAATGACGTCTAGAGATTGTAATTCTCCAGCCGTATTTGACGCGTTTTGCTTCGATCATACGGTATATCTATTCATGCAAAGGCACTTAATGATTAATGAAAATAACAACGACAAAAATAAACAATTTATATGATTTTTTCCAAGAAATCCTCTTTTAGCACCGAGGAATACAAACCCCGGTCTATAAAAATGTATCTAAGGGAATTTATATACGGCTCGAGGTTAAGGTACAAAATACACTCAAATTGACGTCGTTTAGACTTACTGACAGATAAATGTTGGTTCAAAGGAAGGAAACACCAAGATATAGTATCACCGTGTTCATCTGGAAATCAACATATCCATTCGCACTATATTTTATAAAGTTTGATCGTCACCATATGGTCGTATGTTAGGTTTACTTTTGCGTGGAAAGTGTATAAGGATGAACGACCATTCATTTTTGGGGTTTATAAATCACTTTCCTGCCACTGTTTGTTTATTTTCGTTGGTGGGTTTCGGTAGCGGCATTAAAAGATTATTTAACAAAAAATATAACAGAGCGTTGCGTTGTAAAGATAAGATATAAATTAAAAAAGTTATTAAACTTATTATACATAAGCATATGCATACAGGGTGTCCCTGGCTGAGCTTACTTTAAAGGTTTCTTCTTGCACATCGAGCAACTTTGAATGAACTTTGACAATCTATAATTTATAAAATATTTTCAATATAGCGGCAGTTCCGCAAGTACCGGAAGTTTCAATGGCAGCATTTAGGTACCTATTTTATTTAAAATGTATCCTCCATATTTTCTTATAAGTTTTCATTTTCTGTTAAATTTTTTAAGTTTTAAGTAATTTTTATTCTTGGTTTGAGTTCAGGTGTAAATAAATATTTTAGAGATGTAATCCATTAATTATTATAAACTCACCGGCAAAAAAAACGGTCACTAAAAACTAGTCCCAATTTCAAAGTTGGATTTCTTGCGAACCACTCATTAGATTTTGATGATTTTTTTTTAAATTGTAAATTAATTCCTTCTTAACGGATGCTACGTCAGAAATTTTTATTCCGAATTTATTTTGAGCGTATACAGGGCACAACAATAAGATGAAGTTTTTTGCCTGAACTTTGTAACACCCTGTAGGGTGCAGCAGCTGTAGTAGCTATTGCTAAATCAAATCACATTGTAGCCTCATCTTTTGTGAGCATTTTGTTTTTTTAATCACGACATTATCTCTGTTTGTATTGGAGATACGCTGCTTTAAAACGAACGTCTCGAAAAAATGCTTCGCAGGCAGTTTTATGTGTAGATAATCAAGGCGACATCATTGTCAAATTAAAGAATGCCCACGGCCGACTCTAAACAGTATAGAAGGCTATGGAATGCCATTATCTGTGACGGATGTTGCTCGTATTCTGCCTTTAATTGAGGATGGCCGAAATCAACGTTATATGTCCGATACCC